TTAAGGTTTGGCTGTTCAGAAGGTGAGCTTAGGTTTTGCCTTCTAAAGAAACTGCCGTATTTTTCGCTCTATAAGATGCGCCTGACCATAAGACGCACCTAGTTTTTAGAGGAGGAAAACAAGAAGAAAAATATTCTGAATCAAATGGGCACATAATCACAGGCACATTCCCCATCACTTCCCCATGAGCTGCACATCTGACAGACTTACTGCACACACGTATTCACTCTATAAGACACACAGACATTTCCCCATACTTTTGAGGGGGGGAAAGTGCGTCTTACAGAGCAAAACATACGGTATGTTTTGATGTGATGTCTGAATCAAATTTGTGCCAGAAGCTACAGATTATAAAATAGCTGACCAACTTGCAATCCAACAACATCTGGAAGACCATAACTCCAGTGAATCCTTAGTATTGGCTAGGCTGACTGAGGCTGATGGAAGTTGTAGTCCAGCAAGTTCCCCACTCCAGGTATGGTGATTAAGATTCTTTGTTTTGGAAAGGGTTGGCTTACAAGATGCAGGATGTGAATTGCATAAAATCTCAGTGTGATTGGCAGCTATGAATTGGGAACATTTTTAACATGAAACTTCTCACAATTTAACACAGTCCTTGTCTCTAGAATTTCAGAATATTCACAATACAGAACCAACTACTGGAATGTTTAAAATTATGGTGTAATCACAAACCACACAAAATTACCTAATGAAATCTTCTGTGAGTTATGATGATATTATTCCTAAATGCCTACTGGATTTAGTTAAGCTTCTTTGGTCTGAGGTTTTGCTCTATTCATGGCCTAGTTTGCTGAACTATCACACCTTTTAAACTTCGCTGTGCTGTCACCTCATTCCTGTGATGTTCCCACTTATACAACAATAATGACATTTCATGATGCTGCCAAGTTAATATGTTTTCCTCCTCTTACTATGCTGTATAAATGTTAATGAAACCTCAAGAAGAATTGTTTCCAAATGTCCTGAAATTTAGTATATCACTCTTTGCTAAAGTGGAGAAGTAACTGCGAACCAATACCTTTATTAAGCCAACTAATATACTTTTATCTGTAAACTAGTTTGTGATTTATTAGGAAGAATGAAATGTTACATTTATAATAATCTAAAGGGTTACAAAGTAGTGAGCAAAGCACTTCTGGCTGCACATTGAAAATGTTTTACCTAATTCTTGTCTGAGATTGATTTCCAGCTCTGCTAATACAAGGACTGTTTCTGCTATCCCTCTTTATTTCTGACCTCTGCCTTCAAGGAGCAAAGGTGGTATCTTAGCATTGAAAGCAGTTTGGAGTAGCAGCTGGATGTTATATTTCCTTTAAAAATTCAGGAAGGGCTTAATTTGGCCCAGTAGGTCTTGGAGAAACCTGAATCTGTTTTGCACCAAGCAGAATCTGTGCATGCAATATGCATATCAATGCCCACATACAGTCTTAAGAGCTTGTAAATACAAACCAGGATGGTATGTTTCTTTCAGAGCGCCTTGGTTCCCCCTCACTGCTTTTGGCTTGTTTATTTAACATCCATCCTGAAAAATAGTTCAGGGGGGACTTGCTGACTATCCTGCCACAGTTTGGTTTGTTCTAATAAAGGTATTGCCTAAATGCTAATTTGGGGACTTCTCCCAAGGCTATCTGTGATTTTATTTTGGTGACTTGGAAAGATTTATTTGAGAGCACACACAGTGGGAAGTAATTGTCTTGGAACAGAAGGCTTGTGGTTGGCAGGTGAAGGGGAGAAAATGCATCATACTGCGTTGTTCTTTGGAATCCCATTGGGCTACAAGCATCTTTAAAAGAGGTGCATTTCATAAAGTCAGTGTTACCTTATTTTCCACCAAAGTTGACGCATTTGTAGTGGTGATTTTCTTTTGTTTTATTAAACCCACAATGCACCTCCACTATAATGGGCTCCTATTCATCCATGTTTCAACGTTGCATGCTCTGAAAACCTGTATAATGAGCATCTGTTGAAAGTAATGATATTCTTCATCGTACATCACTCTGCAGGGAGTGTATATGCAGGGCAGGTTGCCAGACTGTGAGGAATACAAGAGCATCAGCATTGTTTAGTCCAGTGTTCCAGCTTACAAGCCCATATAACCATCAGGACTCTGACTGAAGCTGGAAGTACTTGGGGGCCGTTCTTCCTTATACTGCCCAACAGTGCAGGAGGGCTTCCTGCATTGCCACTGCCCCCGAAAGGTCCAGTGTGCAAAGGGATCTAGCTTCTAAAGCCACAGATGCTGTGAGACTTCATGACCCCAGGTGTCGGGCAGCAGAGTTGTCCCATGGCAGCAGCAACCTCTTATGACTTCCTGCTCTGCACATGGCAGCAGGCTGGTCACCAGCTGCTTACTGCTCTATCACTTTCTCCCTCTTACAGCAGAATCATGAATAGTACATGATCCCAGACCGCTGTGGCAGTTCAGTAGCTTGAGGTCATTGCATATGTAGCAGCTGTGAGGAGAGTTTTAGAAGGGTGGGTTCATCACTGGGCACCCACCACACGCGTACACACTGGAAAGTGGCCATCTCCAGCCTGGGGCCTTCCAGATGTGCTGGACTGCACATCCCATCACCCTCAGCCAATCTTGTTCTTGGTAAGAATTTCAGTGCAACACAGTCTGGCAAGCAGCGGGTTGGGAAAAACTACTAAGTACAAAATGTTTGTATAACTCAACTGTTGAAATTCTCAAAACAACTTACAATAACATGCATGACCTTGATGAACTGTGGTTATTTATTTCCACATTACAGGTGTGTGGGGTGGTGAGGTACCAAAATAATGTCTTGCTTGAGGCTAAGTCAATAACTGAGGTATGAACCAGTGGCTACTTTCGCACAGTTAATATTCTTGGTCTCTGCACTGGACCAGCCATGCGCATGCCAGTTACCTACCATTTTACATTCATTTTATAAACCGTCAAGTTACTATACTGCCTTAACAAATATTGTTAGAGGGACAAGGAGAGTGCTAAAATAAGTGTTACAAACAATTGCCATATACTCTTTATAGCAGTCAAGAGCAGTGTGTGTTATTAAGCTGTACTGTACTTCTAGCTAACCTGAAGTTGTTCAACTAGCAGTGTAACTGATCAAGATGCCTCCAGTTTGCTTCTCTCTCGAGTAGCTGAACTAAGTTATCATTCTTTGTAGTCTTATCCAGCACCTAATATCTTACTGTTTCTCATTAACATAAGAATTTTCAGAAGCTGTGGTTGAAATGCAATAGCCCTGGCCTTTGTTCAATGAGCAAAGCAATTAAAAATGAAAGAAAACTCCTTTTAAAGCACTTTTTTTCCTGAGTGCTATTTGGGACTCCTTTAATGAGATGCTCTCTGACTCACTGCTGAGATTGTTGTAGATTACATTGCGTTCTGGACCTGAATAAGTAACTTTTTGCATTGAACAGGTATTAATGAGCAACTACAGCTGGTTTCTGTCTGTGCTCAGCAGGAACTGCACCCCTGCATTTTATTCCCTTCTAGGATCCACACTGGAGAAGTGGCAGAACTTTATAAAACCTTATCCTGGCATTTAAGAGTTCCAAGCAGAGGGTGAAACATGGACAGACAGTTCTAGAAGCTTAGCTGTGTTAGTTCCCAACTTCTCACTGTGCATCTATGTGCAGCAGCTATGTCTCCCCAATCCCCACTGCCCCAGGGCTCTGACCCAGATTTTAAAAGCCCCCCTGGCCCCCATTCCAGGGTCTTGATCTGAATAGGGGCAGTGTACCTTCCCTAGAGTAAACATTTTAAAAATATGTACCTGCTAGACACAAATTTAAAATGTCAGTGTTGGCTTCCAACGTTTTTTAGCAAAAAAAGAAAGCGCTGTGCAGCACTTTAGGTATGGACATGTGTGGGCAGAACTGTGCTCCAGTTCATCTTTGAACTGGTAGTGTGGGCCCTCATTTTGCAGGCTGTATCATTACTGTGGGTTTTCCTCATGCACATTCCTATTATTCTTAGCTTGCCTTGTTTCTGCTGTGCTTGTTGTTCATCATACACATCTTTCCCCTCCCCTGTCCATTTGTCACCTGAATTTTCTTTCCCTCCAGCACTAAACATGCATCAGGAGGCTTAGTGTCAATAAGTTATCATTTAGGGATGTGTGGACAGAGCTTGCTTAACACATCAGTTGCTTTGAAGCCATGAGGCATAATATGGTTTAAACTTGGGCGATCTGAGTTCAGCTCTCGACTCACTCTGTGGTTACATTTGTGTGGCATCCGTTTCTATATTTAACATGTGATTGTTAGGATAGCATAGGCTCCAGGAGAGTACTCCCGGTTCCTCTGGCAACCATTGTCCCCAAACTTTCTGCTCTCTTTTACCCCTCTTAGGCTGCTGTCACCTGACTTTTCTCTGCTGGCCTTTAGCTCTCTTTATATTTGTTGCTCCTCCATTTCTGTGCTTCATCCACAGGAGGACAGGGATGAAGGAGGTTTTCTCAGAGCAAGGCTTATCCATTGCATTCCCAGAGCAAGGCTTATCCAATTGAACCCTGTGATTTCCGGAAATGCTAGAAACTCAACGTTATAATGTATGATAGTAGAGGACTGTACTTTCTTGTTGCTGCTTTAATGAGTCTTACAATCAGTTCCTCCATTTTCAGACCATCCCCACTGCCAACCATTCTGGTGAGTGACATCCATTTTTGGTACAGGCAGCCAAGTGGATTCACTATAAGGGATGAGGCTTATTCCAGGGCCAGAGTGTAACACTCTGAATGCAGTATCATTGTGAAATAATGGTGCTGATTGATTTCCTTGAAACATGAAAAGGTGTGTGTATGTGTGTAGCATTGTGGTTATTATGGTAATCAGTTGCAAAGTAATCAATATGCTGCTTTAACAGGTGCGTGTTATATAGTGCTGTGGAGATTAGCTTATGTATAAGCAAAAACAAAGAGTGCTTCTCTTATTGGAAATCTGGATTCCTTACTTATAAATAAGTAACAAAACTTCTGGTTACTCTTTAGCCTTGTTGATGCATGGGAAAATGACTTTGGAGTACATCCTCTGACATTTCCATCAAAAACCTGTTTGGAACTGCTGCTGATACTGTCTCAGAGTAATGCTTCGCTGCCACCTTCTCTTCGCAGGATGGATTTTTTCCAGGTACTGAAATCTTTCATGTAATGCAGCTAATGTTACAGGAAAAGACTGTTTAAAACTAAAAGCTAACATACCAGGATACTGACCGTAGTTTGATATCCCAGTTTGTTAACTAATCATAGTTTGTAGGGATGGTAGTTTCCCATATCTGGATGAAATGGAAGAATATAGTTCGTTATAATCTTTGCCTGGAAGCTTTAAACAAATGCACAAAGCAAGGGAATGGTAGAATGCTGAGTTTAAGGCTCATTGAAGCTCATGCACATAAAAACCTGTAACTTGTAGTTATGTCTGAAGCAGGTTTTGTCAGATGCTTGCAAAGTAAGATCACTGTTAAAGACCTTGGAACAGGGGTCTGGTGTCCCAGTTATTGAGCTGAAATGTATATGAGTGCTCGTTTATTGTGGCTGAAGTAGGGCTGTCGTTATGACTCCAAACTGTATGTCAGGCTGTGTCAGAGAGTCCATAATACCATGTAGGTTGATTGCTGGGCTTCTCATACTGGGGACAATGTAATACAAGCCCAGGTGGAAAAGAGAGACAAGAATTCTTGAGCTGATTGTTTTAGAACTAAGGTATGAGTCATGCTGCTTGCCTGCTATTACAACTTTGAGGGTGAGTTTACGCAGTCTTCTGCCAATTTTACTCTATAAATAGGTTTATACAGTCATTTTCAATGGGCAAAAACCTCAACTTTCGTATAGCTTTCCTCCAACATTCTTCCTTTATTGAACTTTCTTGTGAAGATACTCAGCATAGTGAAGTTTGTATTTTGAAATAATTAAAATTGGGTTCCTTTATGAAAATAGGTTGAAGCCTAGTTTAACCTGGCTAGATGGGAATGATAAGAAAGATAACCTCCTGGTGACTTTTGACAGCAGAAATGAGGAGTGGGCACTCATCTGTTTGAGACCAAAAGGGGAACAGAACAGTACAATTCTAGCACAGTGCAGGGATGGGGGAAGGAAGGAGCTACATGCAAAACATGAGAGCCAGTGTGGTGTAGTGGTTAAGAGCTGGGACTCAGAGGATCTGGGTTCTAGTCCCCGCTCAGCCATGGAGCCAATTGGGTGACTTTGGGCCAGTCACAGACTCTCAGCCCAACCTACCTCACAGGGTTGTTGTTGCGGGGATAAGATGGAGGAGGAGATGTAAGCTGCCTTGAGCCCTTTGTAGGAAAAAGGCAGGATATAAATTGAATGAATGAATTGAATGAATGAATGAATGAAAAACAGGCTTTTCTTAAAGAAGGGAAGCTAGATGAAGATAAATAATTTATCAATAATCAATTAAATATAAATAATCAAGAATGAAAATATTTTCATGCATCTTCATTGAAGTATCAGTTGAAGGCAACTGCAGCTGGATAATATTAGTTATTATTTCAGTTAATGGATATCATCTATGTTACTTGCTCCTCCGGTAATATGGGAAAGGTTTAGATGTCAGTGGTGTGGCTCGTGCTTTGCATGCATAGGCTGGGTACCATATTAAATCTAGAGCATCTTGGATAGCAGTGGGAGTGGGGCGGGGGAAAGACCTGAGAGACCTGCTTCACATCAGAGTGGGTAGTACTAGGTTAGATGAGCTAATAGTCCAAGATCACCTTACATACTTCTTAAAGGAGGATCAGTTTATGGTCCAGGCCATTGTTGCAGCCAAGCACATCTACAATCTTTAGCACAACCCTAGTTGAGAAAGACTGTCATAGTGGAACCATTGTAATGTGGTATTGTTCACTTTCACTTTACCCAGAAAGATGATAATGTTTATTTATTTATGTTCACTTTATTGTTCACTTTACCCAGAAAGATGATAATGTTAATGGCATTGAAGGCCTCTGAGAACTGATCCAGGGCTTTGACAGGAAGGAATGAGGGAAGAGTAAAAGAGCTGGCTGTTCACGTGTAAGATAGAAACACTGGGTTGGATGGGGATCCATATGCTTCCTTCATACATACCTCAGTATTGAAGTTTCTAGCCCTGATACAGCTGTTGGTCCATTTACATATGTTTAGGTCTACTGTTTGACAAGAAGCAGAAAAAGAATTTGCAGGTAAGACCATGTGTTGATCCAGGTGGCAAATCATGTTTAACCCAGGGGTCCCCAAGGGTTTTCTTGCTGGTGTTACCTCCAAGGGTTTCCATTGTGCACCAGAGTTCTTTTTTAAATCCATGTTTTAAAATCTCCATGCATAGATTTGTATGAAATCAATACAGCTTTCTAAAAATTATACATAGGCTTCAACAACAGTGGACCAAATAGCAAAATAAGTATGTATTTGAAGTTGGCATCTGTATGCCATTCTTTAATCCATCTAAAGAGTTGTAAGGTCTTCTATAGATTTCATTATTTTCCATCTTTCAAAATTTGTAATGAGTCTTTTAGCTGTCAGAATAGTAGAGATAATCCATTTCAACTGCCATTTGTTAATTTCCATGAAGCAGGTACATAATTCAAAAGAACATGTGTATCAGTGATTATTAAAGACCATTCCAGTACAAAATCCAAAAAAGAGGCAGCTACTGGACATTGCCGAAATGTATGCTTAAAAGAAACAATGTCTGCATTTCATTGCCAGCAATTAAAGCTGAATTAAAGAACCCCTTATTAAAGAGATGTCACAGGCACAAAGGTTCTTGCTGAATAAGACTCGGTCCAAGATCCGTAGAAAGAGCAGATGTATGTCAGAGCAGTGATCTGCTCTTTTGGCAAGTTGTGGTAGGGCCCACAGCAGTTTCTAAAATTCCCAAATATGCCCACAGGTCTAACAAGGTCCCTGACTTAAATCCATATGTTGGTGAATTCTGTGTTATTTTTATGTGTGACCCAGATGCAAACCCATTGTTTATAAACCATGGATTGTAATTGAATGTGAACTAACAATATGGGTTGATCATATGTAGTTTCACCATGCTAAAAGGTGTTGGACAAGAGTGAAAAATAAATAAAAATCCTATTCTATATATTAATTAAATACTGGAAGAGTATTTGGAATATGATGGGGAGTAGACAAAGCAGGAGGGAAACACAACTCAGGATTTGGTGAAGCAAATCACAATTTGTTTAATTGTCTACAAGCGAAATCCTGGGTAGGGCAACAAGCCATGGCTTGAATAAACCATGGGTTAGCATTATGTGTGAACCAGGTTGTTCTATTCCTTACCACTATTCTATTAGCTTAAAAGAGTTGCATGTCTTTAAAATTATACTCCAATACAATACACTTCTGATTGAACTGACAATAACACTGCTTGCTATAAACTAATATATAAAGTGAAAGTTGCCCTTTGGCTACGTTGGCTTCATATTTCCCGCTTGAAGGAGCTAATGCTCATGTAAGTTCCCAGTCATGCTAGCTTGAAAAAAGTGAAGAAGTTAGAGCCTTTAGAACATCATATTCTCCCCCAACCCCCAATATCATGCACCCATAAAAGAAAACAACTATGGTCTATTTAACTCCAGCAATCCCTGTTTCAATTTACAACATTCAGAGCTGATGTCTGACAGATATTAAAGTAGAAAGCTTGCTTTTTCCGCAACAGCAGAGCTGAGAGCAATGTGCTAAAATGGCCTAATGTACCATCATAAAGATCCAGTATCTAAGGAATTATGTGGCTGGAGGGTTATTTCTTTGTTTAGTTTTTTTCCTGTCTTCCCTTCCTAGAGACAAAAAGAGTCACAATGAAGTTAGGAAAACAGTGGCTGAGATTGCGCATCACTTTACAGCATCTCCTTGTACTATCAGCATTGTGTCATAAGCTCTAAAGCTTTTTTGGCCCTCCTTCTTGTGCTGAGAAACTGAGCGGCTTGATAAATGCTCTTGGTGCTAACTGGTAGACTTGGAGGTTTCTTTTGCATTTTTAGCCTGCTTCGTAAAAGAGAAATTTTCACAACTAAAATTAGTAGTGGTAGTCGTGAAGATGATGATAATGATGATGCGGATAAGTATACGTGAAACTGGAAGAAACTACTAGCCAGTTAGAGGACAGGATGCTGGAAAAATTGGGTAACTTTGAAGAAAACTTTGTGTGTTTGTTTGTGGGGAGTTATACAGATTGAATAGTAATTGGATAAAGACCCAGCTTCTCAAATTCACTTAATATGCTGACCTGGTTCAGACTATCATTTGAAGATGAAGAAAAGCATTGGAGCCAAGCACTCCTTCTCTACCCCTTCCTTGTTGGCTTTGTTGTAAAAGATCTTAGGTTGCATTAAGGTTGTTATAATTAAGTTGTTACCTGTTTAAACTGAACAGATGGGTCAGTGAAACAATCTAGCTTATTAATGCTGCATCAGTCCCCCAGTTTGGATATTACAAGAAACTCTAGCTTAATAAAGCTAAGATCTTTGCATCAAAGCCAGTGAGCAATGAGGAGAAGTGGGAAGTGGGAAGTCGAGAAGTGTCCCACCACCGTGCTTTTCCCTGGGCTCAGAAAACACGGCTAGAACATGCTGTAATAATCAGTAAAAAGCTGGAGGGGAATCCCTTCCCTCTTACTACTCAAAAGGCAAGTCAATAGAACTCACTCCCCTGATGGTTTGTTTAGCAGGATTAAAAAGTGGGAGACACTTTCTTGTACACAGTTTGTCTTTTCTATCCACAAAGTATTGAGCCTCTGAGCATATGTAGATTGTGCTTCTGTCATTTCTAAAATTTGTAAATCGGAGCTTTCATGTCTAGGAACAAGGCTGCCATGGCTTGCTTGAAAATTTACTCTAGCAGTGCTTTCTGGAAAAATCTCAAATTATTTATATCTTTAAAATAAATATTAAAGCATCTTAAAGCCTAACAAGTTCATTCTGGCAAATGTTTGCATGCACTTCGTCCAGTTCATTGTCTACAGGAGGCACTTCATCAAGTGGACATTGACCATCCAGAAAGCTTCTGTCAGAGCAGAGTAGTTAGTCCTTAAGTTCCCATATGACTTGGTGTAGTTTTTGTGGAAACAGGTGGCTATCCTTCTAGATAGTATTTAAAATTTACTGTTAAATTAATGATTTATTATAAATCATCATTTCATATTTTAATGAAAAGCATTTCATTGGTTTTTCAGCATCAACAGAAAGAGGACAGTAGGGCTTTAAAAGCATGATATTTGCCAGGCCCCTAAAGCAGGTGATGTTGGCCTGTGTGGTGGACAACTGGAGTTCTGCCTCTCCCTTCCTGAGACCTCTGAACCAATCGCAGCACTTGGAATGTCAGCAAGTGGCAGGAAGGTGTTAGAAGCAGCACTTACTTTCATTCCCTGTTGGGGATGGGAAGGGGAACTATTGCAGAGCAGAATCGGAGTCTGGACGGCTGGAAACAACACACTGTACAACAGCTACCTCAGCCTGGAACTGAGAAATGCCAGTTGTTTTAAGATAGGTACTCACCAAAGTGGGTCATTTGCTTCCATCTGTAGAAATAAACATGTCTTGCTTGACTGTTAACCCTTGGTGGGAGAGCTCGTGACCAAGGGAAGGAACAGGCACACCTGAGATCAGCTGGTGAAGAAGGAAATTGGCAGTGTGGGAAATGTTGTATTCACTTGTTACCTTTTTGGCCTGAGGCTGCTGGGATAAAGGCTTCTAGTGAAAGGTAGGGGGCTATGTGTAACTGCTCGTGTCTTGGAAGGATTGGAAGGGGGAGTTAGAACATAGAGGCTGAGAATCTTCTGTGAATCCCAGGCAAGAAGCAAGCAGGATAGCTGAAGATAAAGACCCACTGCTTGAACAGAGAGGCTGTATACAGAAAAAATAAAGGGGGTAAAAAGGCCACTAAAGCTGCTATTAAGTGCTTCCACAAAGGTGGGACAGCAGGGCATGTCACAGCCTGAAACTCCCATCTGTTGCCACTGGCTATTCGGGCTTGAGCCAACAAATATCTGCAAGGGCACATGCGTCCCAGCCCTGATGTAAAGCAAATGAAGCACTGCACTAAGATGAGTTTGTGACATGTAGGCATATTATGTTATGTTAGTTGCAAAGTCGTGTCCAACCCATGGACAACATTCCTCCAGGCCTTCCTGTCCTCCACGATCCCCCAGAGTCCACTTAAGCTCACGCTGATTGCTTCAGTGACTCCATCCAGCCACCTCATCCTCTGTCGTCCCCTTCTTCTTTTGCCATCTATTGTTCCCAGCATTAGGCTCTTCTCCAGGGGTCCTTCCTTCTCATTAGGTGGCCAGAGCATTTGAGTTTCATCTTCAGGATATGGCCTTCTAAAGAGCAGTCAGGGTTGATCGCCTCTAGGACTGACCGGTTTGATCGCCTTGCGGTCCAAGGGACTCGCAGGAGTCTCCTCCAGCACCGCAATTCAAAGGCCTCAGTTCTTCGGCGCTCAGCCTTCCTTATGGTCCAACTTTCACAGCCATACATTGCAACTGGGAAAAACATAGCCTTGACTATATGATGTATGATATACATAAATACACACACATACATAGACACAAACATACATGTAGGCATACTGTGTTCTAAAACAGTAGCTGCATTTCAAAGCTGAGCAAATGATGTGGGAATTTTGAAAAGAGGAGATACAATCTCCTCACACTCCTACTTGGGAGGTTAGCTTTGTTAAGAGATGAAACTGCTTTATTGTAGTACCGGACTTGCCGGACAGCCTATTCAATGTAAGTTCAAGAGATGATCTGGTTTCAGGAAAGCCAAGTGCCACTGACATCCCACTGGAGAGGAAATGTACAAAATTATTGGGACTCACAGCATATTGCAAGACATGGTTAAGAAACAGAAAAGCAATTTGGATGTGATGAAGTGTACTGCAGTGGAGAGGAAAAGTTATTAAGCTTGTCTTGCATTTGACAGTTGAAGTGCATGAAGGTTGTGTGTGTGTGTGCACATGTTTGTGCGTGTGTGTTACTGTCAGTGATATATCCATTCAACATACATAACTTGTTTCCACTGAATCATATCAAAACTCCTCATTTTCACTGTACCTGCCATGATGATGGGATCTTGTTCAAATCCAGCCATCCTGTTTTAAATGATGATGCCCTGAGATAGGATTGCAGCCAGGAAAGGGATAATTGAAAATGAATCTGCTGCCAACC